CTGAACTCTTCTTCCGCATATCATCAGGGCATTCCTTCCTTTGGTTTGAATAATCTCTGAGACTTTGTAAAACCCACATCATTGTCAAGAAGTTAAAAGCAATTGATAAATTGTTCTGGTAACACCTGTCAGTGAATTAACTCAGAGCACAAAACCCAGGCATTTAAGGAGTTGACAAGTATTATTAAACCTGTTTTGCAAGAGAAGAGGCAAGTTCAAAGAGGGAAAAGCTGTCAAGGGTAATACAGTCAGCAAGTGGCTTCAGCCTCCTGCCTGGCACACCCCGGCTTTAGCACGTGGCCTCTCATGACAGGGAAGATGGGATCATCTATGAACATTTTTCACATTGTCCAACTTTAAAAAGTTGTGACATCTTTAAAGCTACGAATTTGTTTTCGATCCAAATCTATTTTTTATACGTGAGTTTCTCTGTTCAAGTTTTCTCCCTCATTCAGAAATTTACACTATTTTAACTTTTAAATGTAGCAGCAGCGCATTTCTACCAATACTGCCTCCTTGTTTTTTCTTTAAGTGCTTTAATTTGTCTGACTTTGGCATCTGCTAAACCTCATGCTTGAATTAGAGTGAATCATAGTAACGCTTTCATCCAGGGGATAGTACTCTATGTGGGTCCTTTCCGGAACCTGTACATAATTTCATGATTTCAATAAGGAAGAGAGGTAGGAAGTCTAATTCGAAGAAAATTGGGACGTATAATTCAGAAATTCTTCTGCCTGTAACTACTTACTATCTAGTTGATTACTCTGTTCTCCACTCTTCACCATACTTACTTTTATAAAAAGGTAATAAACAATCTTAATCTGGGTGTGACAGAAAGTAGAGTGTAAGACACAGGCTTACGTGCACATAGTCTACTCAGCACTGTGATCCAGGACGCAAGAACAAGGGACAGGGAAGAAGGAAGTATATAAAGACATGTAGCATTTTCAAGTTGGCCACTCCTTCAGGTGCCAGCTGTCTTCAGGACAACCCCAAGGATCAGAGACAGAGACAGCCTCACCGGGGGAGAAGAGCAGCACTGGGCAGGCTCCTTAGGCCACACTGCAAGAAACCAGCGGTACCCACAAAGACCTGGAGGCTAGAGAATCCGGCAGGGAGAATCTGAATCTGATCCGTGTGAATCTGAAGTTATGACAGCGGCATCCCATAACACACTGTTGTGCCCTTGTTGTATACACTTAGGTGCATAAGTATAGAAAGTCAAGCATGAACTTATACTCCCCCCACTCCATGGATACCTTTTTAATGTATGTGCATATCATATGAGAACATACGCGTATATCTTCTTCCTTTTAAAAAACATGAGCCATACATCTTGAGCTCCTTGTTCCATGGCATGCTTTTTCCGCTGCTGTGTCGCCTGCAGAGGGGATGGTCCCCTCTGGTCGACAAGTCGATCTGCCCTTTGGAAGGCACATTGGGAAGTGTTGAATTAGCATGACTTGAATGAGTGCATAATGAAGGAATGATACACGACTTCCGTGCCAGTTCTTGCTTGTGGAAGAGGAATGCTGCTGATACTGGGAATACTGTGGGCAGGATCTGGTAAAACACAGAGGTGTTATTGCCAGTTCATCACCCCATCATTCCTGCCAGTCTCCCCACCTCCCCTAACCAACACCTCCACGTCCTCTATTCAGAAGCAAAAACGGATGCCAAACAGGGAGACACAGTAAAGAGTCAAAGGGAGACTCTCACCAAGACCCGCCCAGGCAGCCTCAGGCCAGGGGACAGGAGTCCCATCCTCACGTCCGGAAAGTCTGCCACTCAGGGAGGAAAGGACCATGAGCAGGGGAAAGATGCAGAAAAAAAAGAAAACAGTAAAGTACCAAAGGAGCGAAGCATTTCAGTGATGATGGAATCAAGACTACACTTAATATAAGTTGTTTAAAAATGAGTTGAAACTCCAACCATCTGCTCCCATGTCAGACACACTTGCCACACCCCAGTTTCACCTCTTGTTCACATATGTATACCTCCCAATATAATCTGGTGGTTTTTTATGATTTCCCACAGTTGATAACAAGAAATACACTTGGTTCAAACCAGCGAACTGTGACCCAGATCTAAGTACAAATGTAGTGGAAGTCATGAGTGTCTTTAGGGACCATCTTACTAATTAAGTTATTTGGCCTATTTTTAGCTACACCAGATATTTTTTCTTTTTAAGGTTGTTAGGAGTGTTGTTTGTGGCAGCGTCAATAAGCCAAGAATTCACAGTTACTCAATCACACAGATTACTCATCATTGCCGTTCATAACAGAATCCGAAAATGTTTAAGATTTCTAATGCAAATCAAAACCTCATCATCACTTGTCACTGCTAAATTAAATGACAGGATAATAACACTACATTAAAACCATTTTTCTCTTGATTGAGTACCTTTTTCAGAAGTGAAACTTCTAGATGTATATTTTTTCTATCGGTACTATAACTGCATTTAGAATCCAAGATAAAAATAGAATTTAAAAGGGGAGGAGTGGGCTGTTTTCAAATTACTGATGAGTCTCTTTTGAATCTCACCCATATTTGACAGTGCACGGCTAGGGAATGGAGTTGTTCAGCCAACTTACTGCCTCTTTTAGAAAGACATAGAGGAGGTTCATGGGTTGGGCTTGTCTTTACTGAAGCAGGTTTGTGTTCTTGGCTCCAGTTATGTATCATTCCATTGCAGACAGGCTGTTAGTGGCCTGCAGGAACCGGCTTTGTTCTATTGCTCAAACATGGTAGGATCTTCGTTTCAGGTAGACCACAGCCTAGGCGGGACATTACTGTAAATCTCTAAACTGCTAAAGCAGTTTCTCAGTGGCCTTCCTCTTGGTCTTTCTTTCCTATATAAAGCACATTAACCAGGAAGGACACCCCTCCCCCTCCTCACCT